ATTGGGCTCTCCGCGACTATTGCTCTCGCTCCTGCTCCTCGCGTTCTGGGAGGCGGGGAGCGGCCAGCTCCACTACTCGGTCCCCGAGGAGGCCAAGCACGGCACCTTCGTGGGCCGCATCGCGCAGGACCTGGGGCTGGAGCTGGCGGAGCTGGTGCCGCGCCTGTTCCGGGTGGCGTCCAAGGACCGCGGGGACCTTCTGGAGGTGAATCTGCAGAATGGCATTTTGTTTGTGAATTCTCGGATCGACCGGGAGGAGCTGTGCGGGCGGAGCGCGGAGTGCAGCATCCACCTGGAGGTGATCGTGGACAGGCCGCTGCAGGTGTTCCACGTGGAGGTGGAGGTGAAGGACATTAACGACAACCCGCCGGTGTTCTCTCTCAGGGAACAAAAGCTGCTCATTTCTGAATCTAAGCAACCGGACTCGCGTTTTCCGCTAGAGGGAGCTTCTGATGCGGATATAGAAGAGAATGCTCTATTGACCTACAGACTAAGTCAAAATGAGTATTTTTCTTTAGAGTCACCAACGAATAGTAAGCAGACCAAAAGACTGTCACTTATACTAAAGAAGTCTCTGGATAGAGAGAAAACTCCGGAACTTAATTTGGTGCTGACGGCTACAGACAGCGGAAAACCGGAGCTCACTGGCACGGTTCAGCTGTTTGTCCGCGTCTTGGATGTTAACGACAATGATCCGGAGTTTGATCAATCAGAATACAAGGTGAGATTGATGGAAAACGCTGCTAAAGAAACTCTTGTGATAAAGTTAAACGCCACAGATCGGGATGAAGGAGTCAACGGGGAGGTAACATACTCCTTAATGTCAATTAAGCCCAATGGAAGACTGTTATTTACACTAGACGAAAATAATGGAGAAATGAGGGTCAATGGAAGTTTAGATTATGAAGAAAACAAGTTTTATGAAATTGAAGTACAGGCCACAGATAAGGGGACTCCCCCAATGGCAGGTCACTGTACAGTCTGGATAGAAATCTTAGACATCAATGATAACCCCCCTGAAGTCGCCGTGACTTCCCTGTCCCTCCCAGTACGAGAGGACACTCAGCCAAGCACGGTCATTGCGTTAATCAGCGTATCAGACCTCGACGCAGGTGTCAACGGACAGGTCACCTGCTCTCTGACGCCCAACGTCCCCTTCAAGATAGTATCCACCTTCAAAAACTATTATTCACTGGTTCTGGACAGCGCTCTGGACCGTGAGAGTGTGTCGTCCTATGATCTGGTGGTGACCGCGCGGGACGGGGGCTCGCCTTCGCTGTGGGCCACCGCCAGCGTGTCCGTGGAGGTGGCCGACGTGAACGACAACGCGCCGGCCTTCGCGCAGCCCGAGTACACGGTGTTCGTGAAGGAGAACAACCCGCCGGGCTGCCACATCTTCACGGTGTCGGCGCGGGACGCGGACGCGCAGGAGAACGCGCGGGTGTCGTACTCGCTGGTGGAGCGGCGGGTGGGCGAGCGCGCGCTGTCGAGCTACGTGTCGGTGCACGCGGAGAGCGGCAAGGTGTACGCGCTGCAGCCGCTGGACCACGAGGAGCTGGAGCTGCTGCGGTTCCAGGTGAGCGCGCGCGACGCGGGCGTGCCGCCTCTGGGCAGCAACGTGACGCTGCAGGTGTTCGTGCTGGATGAGAACGACAACGCGCCAGCGCTGCTGGCGCCTCGGGCTGGCAGCACGTTTGGCGCTGTGACCGAGGTGGTGTCGCGGATGGTGGGCGCGGGCCACGTGGTGGCGAAGGTGCGCGCGGTGGACGCGGACTCTGGCTACAACGCGTGGCTGTCGTATGAGCTGGAGCCGGCGGCGGGAAGCGCGCGCAGCCCGTTCCGCGTGGGGCTGTACACCGGCGAGATCAGCACGACGCGCGCCTTGGACGAGGCGGACGCTCCGCGCCAGCGCCTGCTGGTGCTGGTGAAGGACCACGGGGATCCCGCGCTGACCGCCACGGCCACCGTGCTGGTGTCGCTGGTGGAGGGCGCCCAGGCTCCAAAAGCCTCTTCGCGGGCGTTGGCGGGCGCTGTGGGCCCGGAGGCGGCGCTGGTGGATGTCAACGTGTACCTGATCATCGCCATCTGCGCGGTGTCCAGCCTGCTGGTGCTCACGCTGCTGCTGTACACGGCGCTGCGGTGCTCGGCGCCGCCCAGCGAGGGCGCGTGCGGGCCGGGCAAGCCCAGGCTGGTGTGCTCCAGCGCGGTGGGGAGCTGGTCACACTCGCAGCAGAGGCGGCAGAGGGTGTGCTCTGGGGAGGGTCCGCCCAAGGCCGACCTCATGGCCTTCAGCCCCAGCCTTCCACCAGGTCTGGATAGAGAAGACCAAGGGGAAAAGCAGGAGGCAGGTTCAAATCACCCTGGACAGGTGAGTTTTATATAGATTCCACCTGCTCAGGAAGTCATTAATTTTTTTTAAAAATCCATGTTTTTTTTTTTTCACGGAAAAATTCTGAAGGAACACTGTGTATTTCGAACATTGTTTTAAAAAAACGATGTTTGTTAGCGAAATGCCAAATGGTACATACATCTAATTTTTAAGCATATGAATAATTAGGTTTCTTTAGACAATAAATGTCCAATTTCTTCTGTCGTTCAGTTAGAAAATGTTAAAAGAAGGCCAGGCACAGGGGCTCATGCTTGTAATCCCAGCACCTTGGTAGGCCGAGCCGGGAGGATCGCTTGAGGACAGGTGTTTGAGGCTGCAGTGAGGTGTGATCCCGGTACGGCACTTCAGCCTGAACAACAGAGTGAGACCCTTTCTTTCCCTTTTTATTTTATAAAATTGAGTCTACCTTTTATTTACCATGATGAGACTCCGTCTTTCTTATAAAAAGAGTTAAAAGATGCAAGGATGACTCTTCTTGTCATCACTTGAGTAGAAACAGTAACTATTTTCACTGATCTCATGCCATTTCATCCATATTCCTCAGTGATGTCCATAATAACTGTAGATTATTTTAAGTTTTTCATCTTTGTCTTTTAACAGAATTTTGCCTTGGTATTTTCATATTATTAGATCAATTGGCTTTTCTATTAATTACTTGAGGCTTGTGTCAAAGCTAGACCACTGCCCATTAGGTCTGAAAGGGTTTACTTTTCCTATGGTGTTAAATATTCACCATACATTTATTATAAATTACATAATCTTTAGTTTTTCCCTTACTCCTGTGAGAATACCTTCATATTATTTGAAGAGAATGTCTAGCCATGCATTCTAATGTGCTGCTTTTATTGAAATAAGCAATATTCTCTCCATTCTTGATTTTGTTACATGAAATGGCAAGAAATTTATCAACTATTTTGTACTCACAGATGTACTCACAGCATACTCAAAGAAAACTGCTTGATCTATATTTCTAAGACAAATTAGGCAAATGAAATTATTCAAATTATCCAATCAAATCATGCAAACTTGCTAGCAGCATGCATATAGACCTATATTGTCTGCAGCATATGCTAATTAGCATTCTTACCTAAGTTTTTCAGATTCATCTAGAAAAGAAAAAGGTAACTCTTTTAAAGTGAGTACCTATTGACAATTATCAATTTCATTCATGTCACATTTTAACAGCTCTATCTTTAAAATGCCTTATCTCTAATGTTTGTGAAAGTTTCTTTTCATGTGGTATAATCACATCTGAATATTCTAGCAAAGATCATTTACTTCTGGGTCATTCTTCGAATTCAGTGATTCTTGGCTACATATAGAGGGATGGAATCACAGACCCTTTGAGAATCCTAGTGGTTATTTCCCTCTTAAGGATACGTACCATACCATTTGGCACAATATTCAAGAATTCACTGCTGAAGTCCATTCTTGTACCTAAAGTCAAGAATGTTTGTACCTTAATATTCAGTGGCTAGGCCGGGCACGGTGGCTCATGCCTGTAATCCTAGCACTCTGGGAGGCCGAGGTAGGAGATCACTCAACGTCAGGAGTTTGAAACCAATCTGAGCAAGAGCAAGACCCCGTCTCTACTATAAATAGAAAGAAATTAATTGGCCAACTAATATATGTAGAAAAAATTAGCCGGGCATGGTGGCGCATGCCTGTAGTCCCAACTACTCGGGAGGCTGAGGCAGTAGGATCACTTGAGCCCAGGAGTTTGAGGTTGCTGTGAGCTAGGCTGATGCCACGGCACTCACTGTAGCCTGGGCAACAAAGCAAGACTCTGTCTCAAAAAAAACAAAAGATATTCAGTGGCTAAACTCATTCTATGAATATTCAAAAGAAGGTAACAAAATAAGAAAACATAAAATATTTCAGACGCAAAGTGATTAAACCATTATACCATTTATGCAACTTTGTAAATATAATAAATGTGAATATTAGATAGGACATATATCATTACCTCTAAATTAAGTTCTTGGAATAACTGAAGGCCATTTAAATTTAATTTAAAAAGACACTGGAGTGTTTTCAGAACAGTTTAAAAATTTGCAAATTATTACTTTTACATTATACAAATAACCATTGCACATTTTAGATAATTCCAAATTATCTGGACTAATTTCTACAAATTTAATGTCCTTTATACTTATTCCTAAGGTCAAAATTACATGCTTTGGTATAAAATTATAATTTCAATTTATTTGCTAGTTCAGCTATTCAAGTCTTAAGCTAAACTAGATATTCCTTCCTATCTGTTTAATAATTTAATTATATCTCACAGTGTTAGGATTACATAACACATTTTTAAAATTAAAGTTCCTTAACAACTATGATACATTGACTGTTTTTGAAAATGAAAAATAAGAAATGAAGAAATCTGGTGGTAATATCAGACAATTTAAATAATTAGTCTGACAGCACCAAAATTCAAATAGTTTTTGATTAATTAAGAGACAGTTTTATAGTTGATTTAAATTATCTTATGCTTGTAGAGCCATTCCTGGCTATTCTTTTCTGGTTATGTAAAGGTTTCACATCTCAATTCTCTTTATTTATTATATGTAGAAGGAAGGACAGGCAACAAATTATTGGTTTAAAGATTTTGACTTATAAACTTATAAAATCTATATTTACTTCTTCATAATGAAGTGTAGGATCTTATCTATGTTTCGTTTTCCTTAAAGCTGATCTTGAATTAATGAATAAAATCATGAAAGGCCTGTTGCTTCCCCCTTGCATTGTAGTCACCACTCTGATTTCCTGAAGAGAAGCATATCTTGGCTACTAACTGATCTGTAGGGAAAGAGTTAGAGGGAAACCAAACGGTTGATACCAAGTTCATATTCTCTTGACTTTAGTCAATGAGATTAGGTTCCAAAACACTTCAGAGATCTTTTTCATATTAGTGCTCCATCATCACTTTAGGGTATTGTGAAATTTGGAGGCTTTGCCTCAACATTTTATATGAAATGCTTTACTTCTGCTAGAGTAACACTTTCCAGAATTTGTACCTGAGTTTTGTTTTAACATGAGAGAAGTTGTATGAAAAGTCATCATATTTAAGCACCAAGGAACCAAAATCAATGACACCCTCCATATTTATGATGAATTCCATATAAATGAAATATTTTTGTTTGACAGACATATTTTAGTTTTTCTTCCTTTACAAAATGGTGAAATTCTTAACTGGAAGATTTTTTTCTAGCATAGCATATTTGAACTATTATTTTAGGACAGACTTTGAAGCAGAAAATATTTCTAAAACTACAGCATAGTGAAAGTAGTTGTGCTTGGTTAATAATATCATATATTAACAAAATAGGTATTTGTAAATGATCTATGAAAATATCCAAAAGTCGAAACATAAGATTTAGAATGACCCAGGAAGCAGCTATACGAAAAAGAACCTGCGGGTTTTTCTTGTACTTACATAATCAGTCACATGATGTCGCTGTACGCTCAAAAGGTGAAAAGGGAAAATTTCATCTCGGCACCCGGATTCCAACCATTCACGGAATAGGATAGACTCCATGTTGACCGGTAATGCTGGGTAAAATTTACTAGATATATACTTATAGAAAAGGGAGACGGCCCACAAGAAACCTCACGCGAGCGCTCCCTTAAAACGGACAATCCTAACTCAAAGGCCCTCATTATCTGCAACGATGTTTATATGGCGAGGAGGCCAGAGATCCCGGCGCCTGCTGCTCTCGCTCCTGCTCCTCGCGTTCTGGGAGGCGGGGAGCGGCCAGCTCCACTACTCGGTCCCCGAGGAGGCCAAGCACGGCACCTTCGTGGGCCGCGTCGCGCAGGACCTGGGGCTGGAGCTGGCGGAGCTGGTGCCGCGCCTGTTCCGGGTGGCGTCCAAGGACCGCGGGGACCTTCTGGAGGTGAATCTGCAGAATGGCATTTTGTTTGTGAATTCTCGGATCGACCGGGAGGAGCTGTGCGGGCGGAGCGCGGAGTGCAGCATCCACCTGGAGGTGATCGTGGACAGGCCGCTGCAGGTGTTCCACGTGGAGGTGGAGGTGAGGGACATTAACGACAACTCGCCGGAGTTCAGAGCAAGAGAACAAAAGGTACTTATTTCTGAATCCGCGCCTTTGGACTCCCGTTTTCCTCTAGAGGGCGCTTCTGATGCGGATATAGGCGTAAACTCTCTGCTCACCTATGTGTTAAGTGTAAACGAGCATTTTGTGCTTAGAATAATAAAGAAAAAAGATAAAAGTATATTGCCTGAATTAGTTCTTCGGAAGTTATTGGATAGAGAGGAAACTCCAGAAGTTAATTTATTGCTGATGGTCATCGATGGCGGTAAACCAGAGCTAACAGGGTCTGTTCAGATTCAAATAATCATTCTGGATGTGAATGACAACGCTCCGGAGTTCGATAAGCCTGGCTATAAAGTAGCTTTGTTTGAAAATGTCCAAAACGACACAACAGTGATTCAACTAAACGCTTCCGATCCCGACGAAGGACTGAATAGAGAAATTTCCTATGGAATCAGAATGATTTCACCAGTGAGTGAGAAATGTATGTTTTCAATAAATCCAGACACTGGTGAAATTAGAATTTATGGGAAACTGGATTTTGAAGAGAATAATGCCTATGAAATTCAGGTTATTGCCATTGATAAGGGAATTCCATCCATGGCAGGTCACAGCATGGTCCTGGTGGAAGTTCTGGACCTGAATGACAATGTCCCTGAGGTAGTGATTACTTCGCTGTCCCTACCAGTGCAAGAGGATGCGCAGGTGGGCACTGTCATCGCCCTGATCAGCGTGTCTGACCGTGACTCTGGAGCCAACGGACAGGTGACCTGCACCCTGACTCCCCACGTTCCCTTCAAGCTGGTGTCCACCTTCAAGAATTACTATTCACTGGTGCTGGACAATGCCCTGGACCGCGAGAGCAAATCTGACTACCAGTTGGTGGTGACTGCGTGCGACAGAGGCTCTCCTTCTTTATCCACTACTGCCAGCGTGTCCGTGGAGGTGGCCGACGTGAACGACAACGCGCCGGCCTTCGCGCAGCCCGAGTACACGGTGTTCGTGAAGGAGAACAACCCGCCGGGCTGCCACATCTTCACGGTGTCGGCGCGGGACGCGGACGCGCAGGAGAACGCGCGGGTGTCGTACTCGCTGGTGGAGCGGCGGGTGGGCGAGCGCGCGCTGTCGAGCTACGTGTCGGTGCACGCGGAGAGCGGCAAGGTGTACGCGCTGCAGCCGCTGGACCACGAGGAGCTGGAGCTGCTGCGGTTCCAGGTGAGCGCGCGCGACGCGGGCGTGCCGCCTCTGGGCAGCAACGTGACGCCTGCAGGTGTTCGTGCTGGATGAGAACGACAACGCGCCAGCGCTGCTGGCGCCTCGGGCTGGCAGCACGTTTGGCGCTGTGACCGAGGTGGTGTCGGCGGATGGTGGGCGCGGCCACGTGGTGGCGAAGGTGCGCGCGGTGGACGGGACTCTGGCTACAACGCGTGGCTGTCGTATGAGCTGGAGCCAGCGGCGGGAAGCGCGCGCAGCCCGTTCCGCGTGGGGCTGTACACCGGCGAGATCAGCACGACGCGCGCCCTGGACGAGGCGGACGCGCCGCGCCAGCGCCTGCTGGTGCTGGTGAGGGACCACGGGGAGCCCGCGCTGACCGCCACGGCCACCGTGCTGGTGTCGCTGGTGGAGGCGCAGCAGGCCCAAAGCCTCTTCGCGGCGTGGCGGGCGCTGTGGGCCCGGAGGCGGCGCTGGTGGATGTCAACGTGTACCTGATCATCGCCATCTGCGCGGTGTCCAGCCTGCTGGTGCTCACGCTGCTGCTGTACACGGCGCTGCGGTGCTCGGCGCCGCCCAGCGAGGGCGCGTGCGGGCCGGCAAGCCAGGCTGGTGGTCTCCAGCGCGGTGGGGAGCTGGTCACACTCGCAGCAGAGGCGGCAGAGGGTGTGCTCTGGGGAGGGTCCGCCCAAGGCCGACCTCATGGCCTTCAGCCCCAGCCTGCCACCCTCTCGAGAAGATTGTTTAAATCCTTCTAGCGAAGTAAGTCGTTGATATCAAAGTATATTCGTTTACTTAGAGCAGGTGGGTTTGGTCATAACTACACTCTCCTTTCTTATTTTTGTTTATGTTATCTTTTAAATCATCAAATGTCTCCTCTTTTCTATTTTTTTTTTTAGTCATTTTGTACTTTCGTGTATTTTCCCAACATTACTTTAATGAATGAAATTTGTAGATATAATGGAGGCCATGGATGACTACATTTTAATATTTTCCTTTATCTATCATTTTTCCTATTCTATGAATGGTTAGCCTTGAAAAAGAGTAGTATGTTAGATTACAAACTGGTCAGATGTTTCATAACTCAAATTTATTTTTAAATTGGTAATAATTTCAAGATTACAGACAACTTTCGAGAATAGTAGAAAGAGTTCCTAGGTACATTTAACTGGATTCTCTAACTGTTCCTTGTGTATTGAAACTGCCCTTTTTTTTTTCCTTTTTCTCCTTTTGAGACAAGGTCTGGCTCTTGCTCTCTTGCCTGTGGCTAGAGTGCAGTGGCTGATGGGACAGTTCACTGCAACCTCAAACTCTTGGGTTCAAAGGCTCCTTCTCTATCAGCCTTCCAAATACTTGAGACTACATGCACTCACTACCAGCTGGGTATTTTTTTTTTTTAATTTTATTTTTTGTAGAGATGAGGTCTAGCTATTTATTGCCCAGGCTGGGCTCTAGACCTCACATGATCTTCCTGCCTGGAGCTTCCAAAGTGCTAGGATTACAGGCATGAGCCACAGAGCCTGGCCACAATAGCCTTTTTGATCACCATTCTAATGTCAGTATGATAAGATATTATAACAATATTATATTCCAGAGATTATAACAATAATAAAAATGATACTCTTTGGTTTAACATGAATAATTTTCTGTCATTGTTCACACAGTATTTATTTAAAGTTGGATTAGGTACTATACTTTTTTTTTTTTTTTTTGAAACAGAGTTTTGCTCTGCCACCTAGGCTAGAGTACAGTGGTGTGATCATAGCTCACTGCAACATCCAACTCCTGGGCTCAATCTTTCTTCCTCACCCTCCTGAGTAGCTGGGACTATAGGCACATGCCTCCATGCCCAGATAATTTTTTCTAGTTTTGTTTTTTTTTAAGTAGAGATGGGGTCTCCCTCTTGTTCACGCTGGTCTTGAACTCCTGATCTTAAGCAATCCTCCTGCCTCAGCCTCCCAGAGTGTTAGGATTAGAGATGAGCCACTGGGCACTGGCCTGTATGACTATTATTTACATAAATTGTAATAAAATAATTTCTTAATTTAAAAATATTTAAATATCACCTGAATCAAGATGTGTCTTATAATTTAAGGCTTAACAATAATTTGTTTGGTTGTTTTTCTTTCTTGGTGGTACATAAATAATGGTATATCTTACAATCAATGGCATTTTTGGATTCAAAAATTATAAAATACTTACTGATTCCTATTATTTTTCAGGCCCCAGCCTAAGATCCTTAATTTCATTATCTCGTTTGATTATCAAATGAGTCTGCTGGTGCTGGTATGATAATTATCATCCCCATTTTATAGATGAGAAATCTAAAACTTAAGCCACATAGATAATGAGAAGTGGCTCAAACCCAATTTTGCAGGATCTCAAGCCCATCATTGTAGATCACTATGCTGTGCCTATTACCAGGTGAATCTTTCAAAGTACATTTTATGTCTTGTAACTTTTTTCTAAAAAATATCCAGAGGCAGAAGCAAATAAAGCCTTACATCCCTCAGCCTGATAGTGAAGTCACTGAACTTTCCACCTTATGTCCACTCTCTCACACCTTGTTAGTTTAAGACCTGGAATATAGCATATGTTCAATCGATGATTTAAAAATAAATATATGATATTCAAATGTATCCCCTGAGCAATCCCCTACATCTTAGCAGTGGGAGGGGTAAGCTCCAGAAATTAGGCAATTGTTTATTAAAGAGTGCCTTGAAGGATAGATAGCATTTTAACAGGAAGATATTACAGATGGAGAGATGAGTATAAAGTTATCATCAAAGTTTACTCTGGTAAATGTGTACTTGAAGGATTAGGGCAGGGGAGATTCTGAAGACAGGAAAATTTATAAAGAATCTTTTATAACAATTTAGGTATTAGGTAATGGAGACTTAAATTATGACGGTAGAAATGAACTGGGAAAAAATATACAAGAGGCACTGGCAAAATAGAAGCAGCCAGATAATTATGAACTCAATACAAACGATAGAAAAACAAAAGTAGATGACTCTTACTTTTTTAGTTTGGTCAACTGGGAGACTAAGATTGCCATTAACCAAGTTGCAGAACAAAGTTGGAGAGACAGTTTCTGTGTGTTTGTGCAGGTAAGGTAATAGTGAGGAACATGTAAGCAAATGCTGCTCTCAAGGTCCTAGGAGAATACCATTATAATTGGAAATACAGATCTAGAACTCAGAGGAGATTATTGATACAGTTTTAAGAGTACCTCCCTTAGGGAAAAATAAATCCATGGAAGGTGAAATCACCACAAGAGACATTGAAAAATGAAAAGCAATGAATTAGGTGGATAGACGTGTCAGTTCCTGTGGCTGCTATAACAAATGACTGCAAACTAACTGGTATAAGATAAAAAAAAAGATTATTCTCTCATAGTTTTGGAGACCAGAAGTCCAAAATCATGGTGTTGGCAGGACTGTATTCCCTCTACAGGCTCTAGGGGAGAATCTGTTTTTTGTCTTTCCACCTTCTGACTGTTGTCAACATTCCTTGGCTTGTGGCTACACCACTCCAATCTCTGCCTCTGTGATCACACTGCCTTCTCCTTCTCTGAGTCTTTTCCTCTGTGTGTCTGTTTTATAAGGGTATGTGTGATTGCTCTTGGACTCATCTATCTAAATAATCCAGGGTAAACACCTCTTCTGAGATCCTTAACTTAATAACATCATTTTCCATATAAAGTAATATTTACATGTTCCAGGGATTAAGATGTGGGCATGACCTTTGGGGGACCACCATTCAACCTAATATAGTATGCTTGAAGTTATAGGGAGGATGGGCAACAGGCAGCTGAAATAAAACTCAAAGTGCAATATAATAAGTAAATGTTAGAAGTCAAAGGTAAAGGGAAGAAGATGAACAGAATAGGGTTTTCCCCCCATAAGTAGCATGTTTAAATTTGTGTGTGTATATATATTTATATATATATGTGTGTGTATATATATTATATTTATTTAAAGATGTTTAAGTATCTTTGTAGTGTGAAAGAAAGATGAAGGTAAAGAAGATACTAAAAATAAGATAAGCATCAAGAGAATGAAAGTGAAGGTGAAACATATGAAGGAGAATGGAAAAGAATTAATTTTTTAAGAGCGCAGGGTTGACCTTAAAAGTGGGGATAGCTTTCCCTAGAACTAGTAGGGAATGAAAAATAGATAATATAGAGAAAATGATGAGAGAATAAGAGTGCTATTGAGTTCATGTTTGATGACCTCTCTCAGTGGAGAAATCATGTGAAAGTCAGTGGGAATGAGGTTGAGAATTTGATAAAAGAGGGAAAAGAATATGCAAGAATCTCTGTAGGCAAAAGGGAAGAGGTAATTATGAATTCACTTGGCAGTCCAATTGAGGTAAAGATAAAAGTAAACTGGAGAATACAGTCATCATGGTTAAGGGACTTCTTTATACCGAGCAACTCAATAGGAAGAACAGAGAAAATGAATAGTTAGGTTAACTGTGTGTTAGAGGCTAAAGAGAAGGTTAGAGGAATAATATAAGTAGGTGAGTGATTCTAGGGAGTTTGGAAGAACATATTTTCAATGGTTGAGTATGTAGTCTAGTTTAGGTGGAGAAGTAAATGAAGCCTGAAAGAAAAGAAGAATTAGAAAGAGTCAAGGAACTATTCCCATTATACGAGCAAAGCTGTGTTAGAAGTAATGGAACAGGAGAGGATGATGAAGGAAAGACTCCATCAAAATTTTCAGAAGGGAATAGAGGTACAGAAATTTACTCTATTGTCATTTCCTGTAGAGTTGTGTACAGAACAGGCAAGATAATTATTGAAGCTATGATACAGTTTTAATTGTGCTATTTGGCCTGGAACTTTGTAGCTTAGTAGAGACAGTTATAACAATAGGTAAAAGTAAGATTTCATCCCTTTCTTCCTTGCTAAAGATGCGTTAACATCCTTGTCTAGCTATTGTTACTTGGAAAATTAGAGTCAATTTAAGTAATATAAGGTTTCCCTAGTGGTGATGAAGTAATATGGGGAAGGAAAAAGGCAAATTTAAACTATTGGTAGTAATTTAAACTCTATTAAGTACATAGGATGCTAGTTCTTGGCATGTTTTATAAAAATAGAATACAAACTTTAAAGCATTGTTGTATCTAAGTGGTCTAGATCATTGTGTATTTATGCACATATGCACACATACAAACATTGAACACTTTCCTTAAAATACAAATATTTTATCCACATTTTACAGTCACATTGAGAAAAATTTATAAATATGATGTACAAAATCTGGTATGTCACTTACCAGTATTTTCCACCTTCATCCATTTTATTCTTATGTGGTTATGTTTCCATTTGGGGTCAATGGCGCTGGGTGAGGAGGTCTTGAAAAATAGTACAGGAAGAGGACGTTCCCACCAAAATCTACATGACTATGCAAAACTAGAGATCAGTTATTCCGTAACAAGCGTTGAATATTCTTCTTTAAAAATTCTGCAGGTAAGTTTTCCACATGTAAAAATAAGTTTGTGGCAAGTTGAAACTCATCAACCAATTGTCAACTAATATCCAATGCCCAGGGGAATACAGTGATTTGCTTTTTCTGGAAAGGTAAACGTTTAATTTTCGATTACGTTTGAAATCGAAAAAGTCAAGAAATACAAAGGAAAAACCCCCTACGTCAGTGGAAAATATGAAGACATTCATTGTTACACTTACACTTTCGTGCGCATGGTGTCGCTCTTCACTGAGAACGTTTCCGCGAAGAAAGCCGCCGCTGCTTCTA